CCAGTCTGATCACCCTCTTCCCTTTTAAATTGGTTGTTTGGGTTTCTGTGTATTCATCCATTGACTCATTCATTCACTAATTCAGTAAATAATTACTGAACACTCACTAGCAACCAGCACTCTTCTAATATGGTATTTTTTTAATCAAGTCTCTATTTCATGGAGATTGCAATCTAGTGAGGCAGACAGACAATTAAAATGCAACGCTAGTAGATATACTATGCCCTTTATTGGAAAATCATTTTGTGTTCCTACTATACACCAGACAATGTCTAGTAGAAGTGAAGAAACAGCTAGGTCTCCTACCCCTGGGAATATACTGTCCAACCTAAGAGATGGGCATCCAAGGAGTGATTAAGATAAGGGGCATGCCATGGGCTGTGTGCTGGGGAAGTAACATCACAGAGAGGTCATCCCAGACTCCTAGAAAAAAATGATGTTGAAACTATGGTTTTGCTCTCTAACCATTCCATGCTGTCTCGGGTAGGTGATCAGCAGCTTTGTTTCCTAAGGTTTGAGGGCTGCATTCTAGGTTAGGCATTTGGATGTTCCTGCACGATCAACACCACAGTCAGCCTTCTCTAAAGCACCCAAAGAGAAAAAATGAATAATACAGAAAACACCAGGCTCTGTATCCCCAAAATATAGGCATTAACCCAATGCAGCCACGAGATAATTTGGCTGTGATTGGGGCATAGTTTAGTCATTCCTGAATTGATAGGATTTCTGTTCCCCGAAACTTTCCATTCTCCTATCTTTCGAACAGTCCCACATGGAGCTATAAAGCTACATCACCACAGTAACAGGCCAGTCATCTGGGGCATGAAATACGGAGTAACACCAATGTCCACCTAACCAGAAAGAATACATTCTTTAACTACAGCAAGGATAGGATGCGTATACATCAAAGGTGCTGTATCGAGGAGGTAATTCCCAGAGGTGCTTAAATTCCAAATCAAATCACCTTTCAGATGCCAGCAAGAACATTTATTCAATATCAGAGATCAGATTTTCCACACTCAGAATCATCTCCCTTCTAGTCCCTTACCCAGGAAGAAACATAAAGTTTGTTGTGTTGGGTGTTTTTTTTTTTTTAGCACGAACAGTGCATCAATAGTGTTTCATGAGATAACGTAAAAGGATAAAGCAATTTTTTTCTACAGAGCAAAGTGGTCTTACAGGAAATCGGCTGTCAGTTTCATCCTCTGAGACCAAGGCTTCACTAGAGAAGTCAAGTAAAGCCAGTGACAGCAGAGAATTAACATTCTTCTCATCACCTGGCTTTTGGGATAAGAGCAATTTTAGTGAGGCCAGAGGAGCCACTAGGGTTTCTCCTCTCAGAAATCATTTGTTCCTTGTCTTTTGACTTTACAGGATACCAAACAAAATGTTCCTATGCTGAGCACGCCATGCCATCAGTCAGTATAAGCCTCCAAAATAGGCAAGCATCACGTGGTTTTATTATTTGAGCTGGGAAGAATTCAACAGCATGTAAACCAACCTTCTCTTTTTATAGATGAGGAGACTATAGCCACAGAATTGGGGGTTTCTCTAAGATCTCATTTCCATTCATGCAGTGAAGACCTCAGATATGCTATGCCTTTGTCATTGAGGTCTCACAACACCTTGGGTTGTAGGAGTTACGCTAACATTTTAGCGTGACTATAAAGTCTTGTAAGTTGCCTAAGGTGTTAGATGACATAACTGAACTTCTCACTTGGATCTTAAGACTCCAAGTCCAGGGGGCTCTCCAACATAATGCTGGCTGGTGTCAGAAATGTTACAATTCATAACCCAGGTTTTGAAACTTTCTCTACCGGTAAATAATTTTGCCAGCTAATCCTAAGAGGTCCTCTGCTTACCAGTGGCTTCTGGTTAGGGTCTTGGGCTATGGGTATTAATGTATTTGTTATGACTTCAACTCTTGGCTGCAAACCTCTTCAGATGGGCTTACTGTGACTTTATTCTATTACACACAATATTGGAATAAGCAGAGTACAGAGGGTGTTCTTGAAGGAAAAGATCAAAATCATAGGGTGCAGCTGATTAGAGGTTGTTTCTGGGGAAAAGGATATTGCATGTGCGGTCTCATCAGGTTTTTGTTTGTTTTGTTTTTTAATTAAGGTATCGGGGTGACAATGGTTAGCAAAGTTACATAGATTTCAGGTGCACAATTCTGTAATACATCATCTATATATCACATTGTGTGTTCACCACCCAGAGTCAGTTCTCCTTCCATCACCATATATTTGATCCCCTTCACCCTCATCTATCATCTCCCTCCCCCTTTACCCTCTGGTAACTTCGATAGATGATTCCATAAAGAAGATGTGGTATATATACACAATGGAATACTACTCAGCCATAAGATGAAATAGTGCCATTTGCAACCAACACGGATGGATCTTGAGATTAAAATGCTACGTGAAATAAGTCAGACAGATAAAGTTGAGAACCATATGATTTCACTGATATGTGGAATATAACACTGAAAACAACAAAAGAACAAGAAAAACAAATGAAGAAACAAAACTTAGACACAGACAATGGTTTAGCTGTCAGGTTTACAAATGCATGAGATCCCCATAGAGGCGGTCATCTACGATGAGTACAGTGTCCGCAGAGATGTTTCCAAATTGTGTGCCTGGCACACCTCATCTCCCCTCCCCTCCCCTCCATTCTCCTGCCCTCTCCTCTCCTCTGCCATCAGGATAAAGCCCACGCTCATTAACAGATCTTACAAACTCCTTGTGATGACACCTGTCCTTCTCCACCCCTTTCCTTCCTTGACACGCTGGCCCTGTGCTCTGCTTCCTTCATATATGCATCCCTGCTTTCCATTCTCACTCTGCCTGACCTTTCCTCTCACCTCTAGACCCTTTTACAAACTCTTATTTCAGCCAATGAAGCTCTTCTCAACTGTTGGGTCTCAGCTCAGATGTAATTCCCCGTGAGGAGCCTTGCCGGTGCCCTCACCCCTGTAATAGGCCCTAGGTTGGGCCTCTTGTTCTCTCCATCTCGTACATAGCTCTTATCATGCTGTGATGGAATAGGCTGTTTAATTTTGTCTATCCACCACTATATTGTAAGCCCCCAGCTCAGCATGGTACCCAACGCCAGGCTCAATGTCTGGCACACAGTAGATGCACAACGTTCACGTCAAATGAATGTGGAGTGAATGGATGAATAATTCTATGACGTGGTCTATAAACAGTTATACTAAGGTTGCTTTAATTGAAGGCAACAAAAAATGAGTAGGTTTAGACTTCTCTTCCCAGGTGACTTTTTGGAGAGGTCATGGGGTCAGCTCAATGCAGTGATCTGTGTCACAGTGACCACCTAGGGAACACACAGAATGCGGATTTGCCACGTACACATGAGAGGCTCCAGGAGAATCTCTAAAGAACATCAGCCAACAAAGGAGGTGACTCTACATGCAAACGTGCAATGTTTTCTGTGCTATGGAATTTATTTCTCATTGATACTTAAATGGAACCTGAAATAGACCGAGATTTAATGAACAAAGACTCTAGGAGAGGCAGCCCATCCACAGGTAAAATGAAATCATTCTTGATTACCTCCAATGGATGGCAGTTATGAGCTCCTGTACACAATTTAAAGGTAATCATGTAATTCAAAAAGGGGAAAAAATATGCCAGTTGAACCTAATGGCAAGTGACATTTTGGTTCAGCCACGATTAGAATCAAGCAGCTTTCCTCTGGTGTTTCATTGTGGTGCCTTCCCTGGGTTCACAGAGGGTTAATTCTGCGATCCTTGGGGATGCCTTAATGGCCATGGTTATCCAAATCTTGATTCAGAGCAGAGGCCAAAGATTATGTTTTCTCGGCACATCCACAGACATATTAGGACATGAAGTGAAGATGACAGGAGGAGAATATCTCCTTTCTCCTCGGAATTGCCCCAGGAGAGTTTTCCACGGCGACCTCCTCAAACCCTGGCTTTGCATTAGAGTTATTGTCCTGAGAGGAGATTCAGTTAGCGCCCCTGATTCATTTCTTATAGTGCTCTCTTGTTTATTCTTGGTGGCAGCTAACTTGTAAAATTTTATTATGATTTTTTTTTCTTGGTTTGTGTCATGGAAGGGATAAAAAAAAAAAAACCCACAACGATTCTATCATCAGTCCTAAATGCAGTTGTGTAAATCTGCACGAAGGCCATGTGTCTACAGGGGAAGTGCTGGATAACAGGCTATTCCATTCCCAGTGGTCATTCTCTGGGTTTAGATTTCTTGTTTCTAACAGCCCAGAAGACCGAGGGAGGGAGGAAAGCATTGGTTCGTGGGTACTGTGGATTTAGTGGTCACCCTAATTTGAATTTCAAATTTCATCTTCTCTCTGTGCTGGTAGTAGCATGATCCTTATCAAGCACAATGCGATTCAATCATCACCACCACCAATTGGTGATTCACCAAAATTACCATGGCTCACTGCAATGGCCACAGTGAGCAAGTCCCAGATTCTGCTGCCCCCAACTTCAACCAAGTACTGCAATTACACTAAAACATACAAAGAATCCATTGTGGCTCCACTCTTTTATGACTGCACCTTGCAAAAGCTGTCCCCTTGTTTAGGACATCCTCCATTTTCTCTCTCCGTGCTTTTCCCCCAACCGCTGTTCATCTGTCCGGAAGTAACTCAGACATCATCTCCACCCAGCTGGTCCCAAAATGCCCCATTGAACTTCATCAATCAGTTGAAGAAGTCCATTTGATTATCTTTATCCCTTGTCAAACTATACTCTGCCTTAGTATTCAGACCACCCTCTATCCATCCTTATATTTCCAAAGCCTGGCCCAGTGATTGGCATGTGGAGGGTATTCGGTGCAGTTTCAGTGGACTCCATGTTTCAGCCTAGACATCATTACCTCCAAGCAGTGATCTCATCCTTAAGGCTTGGTGGCCATTCCTCCGACGTGCTCATGTACTACACTAATTCGACTTGCAACATTCATTGGTATTGCATAAAATGTCCCACTTACTTGTCTCCCTCTGGATCAGAAGCTTCTCAAGGGCAGAAAGTACATCTTCTTTGTTCGCTAGTGCATGCCTGCAGCATGTGCAGCACCTAAAACAAAATAGATGCTTAGTAAAAGCATGTGAAATAAATAAATGAACAAAGTATGCAGAAAACAAATGACATTGATTAAGATTCTAACCCATCTTTAGAGTGGCCTCTGGCGACTCCCATGAAGTCTTTGAAAACCATGATCCCACAAGCTTCCAAGGCATGAACAGATGGGAGAGAAAGCCTTCCCAGTAGGAGTGTCATGCTCCTGCCCTGCACCTTCTGTAAAGCCCAGAGCACCACATCGTCATAACATGATGACAGATGAAAACTGCAAAATTATATTCAAGCTCGTCTTGCAATTTCGTGTTTAGCCTTCTGCTGCCAACCTCAGAGGTGCTTATAAACCAGCTTAAGGATTTACCACTAATACCTTCCCTAAGATGGCATTGTCTTTTGGCACTCAGGGCTCCACCAAATTGCTGTTTTGGTGTTGGGTATGTTAAGGGAATAGGGAAGCGACAGAGAAAAACAAGAGAATGACTCTTTCAGCTGTCAGTTCATTTCAGCTGGGTAGGTGCAATGGTTTTTGAGTTTTAGGATGGCTCCAAATGAAATGGATGGAAACATCCCAGGCCCCAATCTAGATTATTGTGTCGTCTTGGTTTGGGGTTTTGTTTAATACAGGTTTCATGCTCTCCTCCGTACTTGACCATGACCATTCCTCTAGCAGAAAGCGATTCCATTGTCTTTTCCTCCATCCTCTGGAAATCCCAGATTTCCATTTGATTTTAAGGAAGAAAATTATCTTACTAAAGTCAGTATTAGACTGAATTGTAGTTGATTTTAACAATTCTCTCAAATTTGCTGAAAGTGTCCATCTAAACCATGACTCTAAGGAACCATCTTAATGGATGGGCTGTGTCAATGGAGTCGGAGTCAAGTTGGACTGTTTAAGGGCTGGGAAGAGCTTCAATGTGCTTGGGGAAGAAATGAATGCTACATGGAGAAAGATGGGGCGCTGGAATCAGCTCGATCTGAACCTGAAATTTATACTTTTGCAAGTTGTTTCTTTCAAGTAGACTTCATATTGAAGTATAACATTTAGAGAGCAATATGCAAAATTATAATTGTGTAGCTGGATGAATTTTCACAAATGGAACACAGCCGTAGAACTAGTTTCCAGATAAATGAACAATTACAAGAAAAACAGAAGCTCTGTTCACATACCCTCTTTATCACTACCAAACACCAAGGTAATCGTTATCCTGACATCTATCACCATAGATGACTTTTGCTTGCTTTTGAATAATACAGTATGAAATCATGCTTTGAACTCTTCTGTATCTGACTTTTTTTAGTCAATATAATATTTGTGAGATTTATCCATGTTTGTAGGTACCTACTATTTACTAGTATTCATTCTCAGTACTATAGAGTACTCCCTTGTGTTAATATAACACAATCAATTTCTCTATTCCATTGGTGGTGAATTTGGTTTTTTTCCAGTTTGAGACTTTTATGAACAGTGTTTCTGTGAACTTGTCTTTCGGTGAACCCATGTGTGCATTTCTGGGAAAGTACTCAGGCCCAGAATTGCTGGTTAAATTCACCTTTCCACTTTTTGGTTGAGTGACCTAAAACAAGTCATTTCAGATCACTTGGCCTGTTTCCCCATCAGTGAATGGGAAAATTTTACATTGCAAAGTTGTTTTCAAGATGAGATCAAGCAAGGTGAAGTATCTGACATAGTTCTGATATTTAAGCGATATTTTTCCCAAAGATGTTCAGTGCTCACCAAATATTCCATGTGCCCCTATATCTTTCACCCTTTGTTGCAGTTGGTTGAAAGTATGTGATTTGAGTTCTGGCCAATGGGATAGGAGTGGAAATGAGGTGTGCTGCTTTTGCACCTCCAAGCCACACTCCAGCTCTCTCTTGCCTTTCTACAGAACCTGGGAAAGCAAGTTTGAGTGGTGGCATCACAAGAGGATAGAGTTGCTGGGGTCCCTGAGTGACAACATGGAGCAGAAACTCCACCGACTGGCAATGGACACATAGCATGAGCAAGAAAGAAGCTTTTAAAGTTAAGTCACTGATATGTGTAGGGTACATTGCTATTGTAGCACACCATCAACAATCGGATAAATGCAGTGCTCAAATGACATGATATGTTTCCACCCAAATGAAACCATTAGAATTTCCCTTCAAAGAGTTATGTGATTCAGGCTCAACAAGACATTAGATATTACATATTACTTCACTTTGGAATGGCAAGGAAATATTTTCTTGGTGTGACTAATGAGAAAAAATTGAAAGTGATCTGTTGATGGAATATGTTAATTACAGAACCTCTCCTCTCTGTTGAGAAACCAGATTGTAATTTCAAAATTGTGTCTGATGTACCCCAAACATAGCACCGCCTTCACAAAGAGAAGGCCCTTGGTGATTATTAGTTAAAAAAAAAAATCCTCTCCCACCAGGTTCAAAGCCAGCCTCATTCTTTTGTTCCTATAAAGACTTTCTTTCTTCATGTTCCCTGGTGTCTACATGGCCTATGAGTTTTCTCCTAATGATTAAACTCCTAAAAATACTACAAAGAATGCTTAATAAGGCTTTTGTGTTTTGCTGGTTGCTATAGAGACTGTTTAGTGTAGGATTTAAAGTACGTGTAAATATGTATTTTGGACAGTGTGTAAAAACACGTATAATTTACACAGCCATAACAGCTACTTCAGTGTTGCAGTTCAGTGCAATAAGGCATATGTAAAGCATTTTATAGTGTGTTATTTATAGTTATTTACTTAATAGCCTACAACAGTCCCTTCCATTGTGTAAAGGAAATAGGTATTTACCCTGTTTTAACAATGAACATCATTTACTCCATTTAGCAATTGATAGTCTTGAGTCCCAAGCAGGCCAGTGAATATGCAATTGGTATAATGTTGATGCAACAAGGGAAACCATGTTGACAGAGAGTTACTAGGAAAACAAAGGGTCCAGCTGATGGAGTCTTGAGCTCATTAGGGAAGTTGTTGACTGAGCTACTCTGGCGCAATAGGAAACCCCTGGAAAGAGGCCACTATCTGCTTTGAAGTTACCCCAGGGATAGACCCAAGGGTGAAATAACACCGATAATATAGCAACAACAACCAACAGTGAGCAAACTTCACTCAGCTACAGGCATCGTGCTAAGTGTTTCATATTCATGATCTCATTTAATCCTCACAACATAGTGACTCAATAAGATGGGTACTGTTATTATCTTTCTTTGTTGGACAATGAAACTGAGGCAGAGAGGTTATGCAATGTTGACCGACATTATCACAGAGCAGGTAGACAGTGGATCCAAGGGTTGAATCCAGGCCTGTCTCACTCCAAAGCTTGTTTGTGCCCATAAGCCACCTCTGTATCACTCATGTTTTGCCAGAGAATTCTTAAGCCAAACAGAGGGTGGCTGTTTCTCAGTAGTGTATCCCCGACCTGTAGCATGTGTGCACATGTGGGCACGCAAACACACACACACACACACACACACACACACACACACACACACACACTTTCCAAGCATGTAGAGTCTTGGCAATGGTCAATTGTATTAGCCAAAGAGTAAGATGTGACCATAGTCATTGAGCTGGTGCATGGTCCAGGTCCTTTGTCATCTGTTAAACCTCACCACAGAATCAGGCCTCATTACCTACTTTGTTCAGAGGAGGAAGCTGACTCTCAGGCTAGGGCAGTCTGAGATCATATAGTACTTTGTATGCAGCAGAACCAATACTGGATTCCAGATCACATATAACTCAAGAAACCTTGTTATTATCAAAAAGTACAGATACAGTAATGTAATGTAGTGTTTTTTTACTGTGGGATGATTTTCCTCCTAGAGACATGTTTTGGTTGTCACAATTGGGGGAAAGCCACTGGCATCTAACAGATAGAAGGCAAGTATGCTGCTAAACATCCTACAATGTACAAGAGTGCCTCTCACAACAAAGAATCATCTGGCCTCAAAGTTCAATAGTGCCAAGGTTGAGATATCCTGGTCACGTGATTAAATAAGGTCCAAGATGGACTGGGCAACCTTATTTCAGTTGAAGTTAAATTGAAATAATGTTGGTTGTTCATTGATCAGCTTAGTTAAAAATGGAGTTCAAGATTGAAAAACTTTGAAAAGCCAACTCATCATTGTATACCCAGCTGTTTTAGAAAGACACTGAAAATGTTCTCATACCCCAGGGATGTTCAGTAACACTTGTGATCAGGATGGACCTTCCAGCACCAGCGGTGATATGGTAAAAGGCTTTGAGCTCATTCAGACACAGGGAGAACCAAGAAAGAATGTTTAGCTAGATAGGAAGCTTAATGAAGGCATAAATTAGTCTGTTTTGTTTATTGCAATATCCGTCTTTCCAATCATAATAGCTAGCACATCGTCAAAGCGCAAAACTGGTCTCATAATTTTGTTAACAATGGAATGCATGTTCTTGAGCATTCCATAACTGAGTGAATGGCTGGTCCCAAGGAGAACTGGAATGGCTCCAGGTTAATCCACCCACCCCATCTCTCTTTTCTCCCATCTTTTCTTTTAATTCCTTACAATTGTATAGTATTCATTGATTCCATTAATGAGCAAATAAGTATCCACTGTGTATGCATTCCTAGTGAGACCTCTACTGGGCTGGGACTCATTCTCCTCACCATCCTGATTCTTGGCTAAACGAAAAACCTACATCACTTTTACAAATACATTTAAGCCCCATATGCACAGGATCTTTCTCTGGCTTATTCAGCACTATATACTCAGATGTGTCCTGTCCTAGGATAGTGGCTGGCATAGAGGAGACGGTTACTAAATATTTGTTGACTAACTGAATTAAATTACCATATTCTATGATGATGAAAAAGCTTAGAAGACAGAAATAAAATTCAAGGCATCCCAGACTGCTTAGAAAATATAAGCATCAGCATGAAACCAGTTCTAGACAAATGTTGGGTGGTGTACACAAGTCCAAGCTATACCCACAACAAGGAGGCTGGAAAGGCATTACAGAAGAGGA